AAAAAAAAAAAAAAAAAAGTAAAAAGATAACCCACAGAATGGTGGAAAATACCTACAAATCTTATCTCTGATAAAGGACCTATGTCTAGCTATACAGAGCTCTTAAAACGATAAATAACTCTCCTCTCCAAATTTTAATCCTCACAGAAATTATGTCTTTATTAGAAATAACTTAAGCTAAATAATTTAAATATTTGAAAAAAAAATGTGTATCACAATTTGATAGCATCACCCCTGCTTTTCTTTGTATTATCACAAGCAATCTTATGATAATACTTAAGTCTAGTCTAACTTTTGGAAAGAAAATATCATGAATTACTCCAAGTAGTTCAAGCCATAGGCTAGTGCACTTCTTAATATTTTTGTTAGTATTTTATTTTTGACTCTTACTAAAACTGTAAACAAATCTTTAATTTGAGGGAACCAGCAGTTAGCATAATGGCTATGGCACTGGACTCCCACGTAGTCGACCGCAGTTCGCGTCTCAGACCCGTTGGCTTAAAACTCACGCCGGGCGCGTGTGCGTGCGTGCCCAAGATCCCGAGAGGAGAATGGAGGAGAAGGGACTGTGGCGTGACCATCCCCCCTGGGGGGTGATTTCTCGCTTTCTGTCTCTCTGTCTCTGTCTGTCTGGCAAGCGCACACGCCCTAAGCGAAAATCTCTCCAAAAAAAAAAAAATCTTTAATTTGATAAGTTTCTGTAAGCATGATTTACTTTGACTTTAACAGTGATGGAGTTTCCAGATCTGCAGATCTTTGATCCAGACACTGAGTCACAGTGTACCCATGAAGACACTCCTACTGAAAAGCCATATCTAAGCATGGCTAAACATGTTATGAGAAACAAGAGGGAATCATTTGCTGTTATACCTAAGAAAACAGGTAACCTACAATCTATCAAGTAAGTAACCATGTAAACTACTATAGAAATTTATTTTTTTAATTTTAAGACTCAGTATGGAAGACAAAGCCTAAATGACTCTAGATAGAGTTTTAAAACTACTTGGAACCAGAAATAAAAATATTGGGTCATCAGAAAAGTCATGACATATTTTTCTTTTTTTCTATGCAAAAATGTCTCATGACTTTTCTAACGACCCTATAGTATCACATAATACACAAAGAGAATTATATTTAAAACTATATTTTACACAGGGACCAGCAGGTAGTGTGGTGGCTAAGGCATTGAACCCACATGGCCGACTACAGTTCAAGTCCCAGACCTGGTGGCTTGCTTTCTCACTTTCTCTCCCCCCCCCTCTCTCTGGTCAATTTAAAATAAATGAATAAAACTAAATAAATAATTCTTTAAAAAAACTGTATTTTACATAAATTGCCTAAGAGAATTCAAAAATCAATCCTTCAAAGCTTGCTGCTCACAGACTAACAAGTATCACAAAACGTGCGTTACCCATTTTGCAGCAGATCTAGCCTATTCTAATTTGAGCCACAAGTGTAGTAGACAGTTCTGTACCGCTTAAGACTTACTTCAGAGGGTCAGTTTTCTATCACATGCCTATTTCCTATATTCTGCCTACCGCATCCAGAAGAGCAAACAAATTAATACCTTCAAGGGGAAATCTCATCCAGGAGGGAATACATGCTGCTAAGTAAATGCTCTAGTCTCTTATCGTTCAGCCAGATAATCCTGGAAGGATTCCATATATTTCTCTGAGGTTTCATCACAATTTAACTCCCTTTGTCTGCAGTTACCCCTGTGGTGTACCCTTAGCTTTCTCTCTTTTGAGCTCACTTGCCCTGCTTTCTCTTGCTTCGTTGAATCACTTCCCAGTAAAACAGTGTGTGCTCAAATCCTGTAAGGTCCAGGTCCAAATCTTGGACAAATATAAACAGTTTTAGCAAATGTAATCAATGGTAAAACTTAACTTTAAACCCTTACCTGCTTCAGTACAAACATTTCTCAGGTCTGCTCCATTAAAGCCATCTGAAAGCTTCACAATTGCTTCATAATCTGTTTTTTAAAAAATATTGGAAATTAGTGAAAGGGGAAAAAAAAGTTAATACATGCCCACATGGAAAATTTAGACTGGAAGAGTTTGCTTTGAATTTGACCAACTAGTTTTATTCCTCAATATTAACAATTCTGTTCTATTCCTCAATATTAACAATCAGAAACTAAAAGTAAAGTTTACTGTAAACAGTAAAATTTATCTTAAGTAAACAGTATGAAACAGAAATAATATGCATCTAAAACTTTGAGGCATGGTAGCACCTGCCCTATAGCAAAAACCAATAGAGGCTAGAGGATTGGAACATGGAGTCCATCTCTCTCTCTCCCTCGCTCTCTCTCTCTCCCCCCTACCCCGTTCTCTCTCAACGTGCATGATTGTTTTCGGGGCCTACAGGTGATGTGGTGGTTATGGGTAGTGGACTCCTACATGGCCTACCGTGGTTCTAGTCTTGGACCTGGCAGCTTGATTTCTCACTCCCTGCCCCTGCATCTGCCTCTACCTCCCCTCCCCCGTCCCTCTCTGGTCGAATATAAATAAATAAAATAAAATAATTCTTAAAAAAATTAAAATTAAAAATTAAAACTTTAAGACTAGGAAATATCAAGATTTCAGAGCATCTTAACCTATTTTCACACAGTGGAACAGTATGCGCATGTGAACTACAAATACTTGTCAAGTTTTGACTCTTACTAAAACTGTAAACAAATCTTTAATTTGAATAGAACTGTAACATCCCAAACCATTATAACAATGGAATTTAATCATGTAAGCCAAATATAAAATATATGAATTCTGAATCTACAAGTATTAGCTAGCTTTTCTGGTTTCTGTGCAAGCTCCAAGTGAACTATGAGCTCCATGACAACAGTAATGGTTAAATGATCTCTGCCCACCTATGTGGCAGACAAGAATTAAAGACCTATAGGTTTGGGGTAGCAGTCATGGATTTGATACAGAATAGGAAGAGAACACGGGCTACGGAAGTATAACTCTGATGAGATATTCATTGTCAGGCAATTATCAAGGCAGTATGTCAATCTCTATGTGAAATTAAACAGATATTAATTAATTAGCTTTTAATCAAGCTTAAGTTAATCATAAGCTTACTGACAGAGATTTCCAAAGCTAACATAGTATCTGGAATCTATCAAGAATATTTGTGGAAGAAACCAGTAAATTGACAACCTTTGTTCAGTTCAGTCTTGCCAGCTCAAAAATCTCTCACAGGAACAATGAAATGATGGGAGGAGATGATCAACCATTTATAATTATAGTTGTCCCTCCGCAGCCATTTGGAAATGGTTCTAGGATAGCAGGTAGATACAAAAATCTGCAGGTGCTCATGTTCCTTATATAGAATGGGAAGATGGTTGCATATAATCTGTGTATATCCTTTTGCATATTTTAAGTCATCTCTAGATTACTTATAAAACCTAGTAAAATGTAAACACTATGTAAATAGTTGTTATTCTGTATTGTTTTAGGAATAAAGACAGTCTATGCTGGGACCGACCTGGTGGTATGGTGGTTAGGGTGGCTAGGTCCCATGTGACTGACTGCACAGGTCAAGCCTTGATCTCAGTGGCTTGAGAAGTATACTTGATGTGTGTGTGTGTGCATGCCCAAAATCCTTAGAGGAGAATGGAAAAGGGATTACAGCATGGTCATCTCTTCTGGGAGGTGCTTTCTCACATTGTTTCTCTCTCTTTGAAAAGCACGTGCACCCTATAGAAAAATTTTTAAAATATGTATGTGCACGTTCAGTACAGACTAACAACACAGCACACATCAGCAACATTTTCGATATAAGGTTGGCTAAATCCATGAATCCATAATCTGCTAATACACAATCTACAGAGGCAGAACCCATGAATATGGAACCTGAGGACACAGAAGGCAGTCTGTATTTTTTACTATTAAATTCTTTTTTTGAAGAATTATTTCATTGGGACCAGCAGTTAGCGTAATGGCTATGTCGCTGGACTCCCATGTAGTCGACCGCGGTTCGAGTCCCGGACCCGGTGGCTTAAACTCACGCCGGGCACGTGTGTGTGCGTGCCCAAGATCCCGAGAGGAGAATGGAGGAGAAGGGATTGCGGCGTGGCCATCCCCCCTGGGGGGTGATTTCCTGCTTTCTATCTCTCTGTCTCTCTCTGTCTGTCTGGCGAGCGCACGCGCCCTATAGCAAAAACCTCTCCAAAAAAAAAAAAAAGAATTATTTCATTTAACTTTATTTAAATTTGATCAGAGAGGGACAGAGTGAGTGAGTGAGTGAGAGAAAGAAAGTGAGAAAGCAACCCACCAGGTCTGGGGCTTGAACTGCAGTCGGCCATGTGGGAGTCTCCTGCCCTTAACTATCACACCACCTGCTGGCCCCTACTATTAACTTCTAAAGGGTTTTTGAAGCTGCATGACAATTACACTATTTAGATTCCTCAGTGTAGAGGTTGGCAAACTCATGTGAAGGGCTAGACAGTATATATTTTATACTTTCCACATTATCTCTAGCAACCCTATTCAGTTCTGCTGTTACAAAAGAAAAGCAGCTATAGATAATAAATAAGGAATGAAAAGATGTGGTGGTGCTGTAAGAAAATTTTAGTTACAAAAACAGAAGTGGAATTCAGTTTGTAAGTCATGGTTTGGTGGCCCCTACCTCAGAGGCTCTAGTCCTGTACTTCCATAGATAATCATTTCATGTCTTCTCTACTCTTCTCAAATCTCTAATAATACCTTCTTATCATCCTCTGAACTTGTATTCTATTTTACTGAGAAAACAAAAGCATTCAGAACTACAAATCTATATCAGATATGATATCCTGTCACCACTGATTGGCATCTAAATATTCCATCTTTCCTCTATTTTCATAAATGAAAAACATGCTCATAGGTAGAATCAACCTCTGTCCAAGGAGAGTGCATGATCAATTACTCTCTTTCTCTCCTAGATCATTTGCAGCATAGGGAGGAAAAACTGTGAATTCGTAAATATACACACACACACATATACGTATGTATATGTATATTCGTAAATATGTACACACACATATACATACACACACACACATACATATATATATATACATGCACGCACACACACACACACATATACTTTTTTAAGGTTTTTGCCATAGGGTGTGTACACTTGCCGGACAGACGGTGAAAGTGAGAAATCACCCTGAGGATGGTCACAATCCCATCTCCTTCATTCTCCTCCTAGGATTTTAGGCATGCACAGACATACACCTAGCGTGAGTTTCAACCAACTGGATCCAGGAGCACCTTAACTGCTATACCACTTGCTGGCACCTAATTCTTATATCTTAAAGAAAACGTGTGCCAAATACTCATCTACATTTCCCCTCTATCTAGAGTGTCATTTTTTTTTATCCTCTTTATGACAAAACTCCTTTTTGTCAGAGAGATTTTTTTTTGCTATAGGGCATGTGTGCTATAAAGACAGAGACAGAAGGCAAGAAATCACCCCCCAGGGGGGTGGCCGTGCCACAATCCCTTCTCCTCCATTCTCCTCTCGGAATTTTAGGCACACATGCACATGTGCCCGGTGTGAGTTTAATTAAGCCAGGGGTCCAGGACTTGAACCACAGTCAACTACATGGGAGTCCATCGACACAGCCATTATGCCAACTGCTGGTCCCACAAAAATTTTTAAAAGAGATTTTTGCTACAGGGTGCATGCACCTGCTGGGGAGATAGAGAGACAGAGAGCAAGAAATCACCCCCACACCACAATCCCTTCTCCATTCTCTTCTCGGGACCCTGGGCATGTACATGCACATGCCCGATGTCAATTTTTAGCCACCAGGTCCAGGACTTGAACTGTGGTTGACTACATGAAAGGCCAGTGATGTAATTACTCTGCTGGTCCCATGTGTTTTTTAAGTTTCTATAATATAAATTAATAGGCTTTTCCCGTTTTTTTTTTTTCCTATTACCACAAAGTTTTGTTGAGCGTTCCAGTTTTCAGTGTGGTAGACAAATATAATAATTTGGCTTACATAAACTTGATTTGCTTGAGCCTCAGGTAACAAGAAATTTTGTCTCCCACTACTCTTGTTTTCCCACCTTTTAACTCTACCTGATGCTGCTACAGGTACTTTCTATACTTTGGTGCACGTACTTCAATTCAGGCACATACTTCAATTTGATCCTTTCAGTTATTTTTTATAGCTTCCTAATAACCCTTTTATTGTACTGAATGAACTCTCAAAATGATATGCATAGGCATCCTGTTACTAACTTCATTATGAGCCAGTCTCCTTACGCTCTCTTAGAAGGCTTTTCCAGCTAATGTCCTTCCACTTCCTTTCTCATACAATGGGTAGTTTTTTGCCAGAGTCCTCTATCTTGGTACCGAATTTCAATCACCCCAACATTAGAAATATGGTTCCCAACCAGGTATTTTACCAGTCTGGAGTGCACAGCTGCATATCAAGACTTAAAAAGCTACTGTACTTGGTTAGGAATCATTAACTTTAAAGTTTGACAACTGTATTAATCACAAATTTTCTGTATTTGTGAAAAGGCTTGTAGAAGTTATTTTTAAAAATCTGTCAGAATAGGACATAATTCCTATGTGCCACTTAAAACAATAACCTGACCTGCCCAGCAATGGAAATGAGACTGATGTACATTATGCCTTTATCTCCATTCATCCTGGGCTTCAAATCCTTTCTATCAACTGTTTTGTCTTTACCATTTACCCTATTACATGATCATCTCATTGTGCTTTGTACTTCTAATTTAAGTGGTGGGGGGGTCTCACAATAGTATACAACAGGGCTGTAACTTCACACTTTTTTTTTTTTTGAGTTTTTTTTTTTGCTATAGGGCGTGTGCACTCACCAGAAAGACAGAGAGAGACAAGAGAAGCAGAAAGCAAGAAATCACCCCCCAGGGGGGATGGCCACGCCACAATCCCTTCTCCTCCATTCTCCTCTTAGGATCTTGGGCACACATGCACACGCACCCGGCATGAGTTTAAGCCACCGTGTCTGGGACTCAAACCGCGGTTGACTACAGGGAAGTCCAGTGATGTAACCATTATGCCATCTGCTGGTCTCACTCCACATTCCTTAAGCAAGTCTACTTTTTTTTTTTTTTTGAGAGGTTTTCGCTATAGGGCGCATGCACTCGCCAGACAGTTTTGGGTTTTTTTTTGAGAGTTTTTTGCTAAGCAAGTCTACTTTTTATGACTTAAATTTTAAAATAATTCCTATTACCTTCAATTACTAATGCAACCAATATTAAGGATGTCTCTCTCTTTTTTTTTTTTTTGGAGAGGTTTTCTCGCTATAGGGCGCGTGCGCTCACCCGACAGACAGAGAGAGACATAGAGACAGAAAGCGAGAAATCACCCCCCAGGTGGGATGGTCATGCCGCAATCCCTTCTCCTCCATTCTCCTCTCGGGATCTTGGGCACGCATGCACACGCGCCCAACGTGAGTTTTAAGCCACCGGGTCTGGGACACAAACCACGGTCGACTACGTGGGAGTCCAGCAACATAGCCATCATGCTAACTGCTGGTTCCCAAGAATGTCTCTTGACATACTTCAATTCCTTAAAACAAATTTTATTTAAAAATAAATAAATAAAAGCTGGAACTTTCAAACACCCCTGAATTTCGTCTTTGCTCTTAAATACTTGGAAAACCTTAATCCTAGCCAGGTAAATCATCAATGTTCATCTTTTCCTCTGCTGTTTAACTGGCTACATTTTTACTTTATCCCATGGTCCTTCCAAAACTAAAATTCACAACGGTGTTCCTTAACAGAATGAAAACTGCAGTATAAATGATTGCTGATTTCTGTGAGGTACACTACTGATATGGGCAAGTGATGTCATTTTAACATTCTTAGTAGCCTATACTATTATATGTAACCCATTTACAGATCACTCACTTTTCTATACTGTATTTGTTTACTATTTTCAACTGGTTTCCTTGAGTTATCACGATAGTTTTTCTTGGATGCCTCCAAATTCATTTTCTTGGTTGAGGTGATCTGAACTATGGTGCAGAAATTGAAAACTCATTTGACATTGGTGCAACTGAATTTTCCTAAGGTTATAAAAAAAATCAACTGTCACAAGAAGAGTATGTGGCCAAAGCCTTCAGTCTGCCAGACCACACGTCATTAATGATGTTTCTTGGTCCTCTCCTGTTTGTTTTCTCTGTTCCATTTTGATTTTTTTCCAGGTTTTCCAGAAAAGAATCCACTTTTTGTTTTATCTGGGTCAACTCCTACTTAATGACGTGAATGTCATCTCCCTTCAACTTTCCAGACTTGGAAGATCCTTGTTGTCCAGTCTTAGAATTGGAGCTTTTGCCCCTTCTTGAGTGTTTCCTGATACACGCTGGCATTTTGAGGGCACTACAGCATGAGTAATAAGAGGTGACAGTGAAACATGTGCTGAGAAACTACATCCTGTCATAATAATCCCAACGAAAGTCATAGTCGAAGTCAAAAGAGGAGCCATACCTTTCTGCTGCAAATCATTTCACACCTGCTTTTCCTTGGTTCATTTTTGTTTCTGCAGCCGGATTAATATCTAAACTTGGCAAGCAATCATCCTGCCATCCTCTCCTGCGACAGCAGCCCAGGAATTCCTCTCATTAACATACAGAACAAAGGCAAAGCCCTTATGAACAGAGCAACCCACAATTTTGCCATATTTTGAGAAAATAGCCTCTGGGAACCAGCAGTTAGCATAATGGCTATGTCGCTGGACTCCCACATAGTCAACCACGGTTTGCATGCCGGACCCGGTGGCTTAAAACTCACGCCGGGCGCATGTGCATGCGTGCCCAAGATCCCGAGAGGAGAATAGAGGAGAAGGGATTACGGTGTGGCCATCCCCCCTGGGGGGTGATTTCTCACTTTCTGTCTCTCTGTCTCTCTCTGTTTGTCTGGCGAGCACAAGCACCCTATAGCAAAAAACCTCTCCAAAAAAAAACAAGAAAAGAAAATAGCCTCCACAACAGACTTCTTGACCACAAGAATAGTGAAATTCCCAATGAATACACAGGAGTTCATGAAGTGAGGATCTGTGTTGTTGGTAACATTGTTGGACATTGTGTTTGATGGTAAGATTCCTCACAAAACCAAAACGTGTAGGTGGGATTTTGTCATTTCTTCTTCCCAGGGGATAGCAGGATCCTGAGATGGCTACGCTTTTCCAGATCATCAAATTAGTATTCAAAGAAGAAAAATAATAACTTTACCATTTCATCACCGCTACACACGATCACACATAGGGTCATTTGCCAGTCAAACCTTTATACTCTGTCCGCCGGCAGGTCCTACCCTCTCCGGATTCAGGTAGACCCTCAGCGCTTGCTCTCAGACAGCCCGGACTGAGCACCAACACCTGCGCACTGTGCACAGGTGGGCACTCCCAGAGCTTTCCAGAGCGCCATGGCTAGGCCAGCGGGTTCAGCACCTGGGTCCCAGAACCCAGGGGAGGGTGAATGGGCCAGCCTCCTTCCCCTAGAACAGGCTACCAAGCCCTCCTGGGCTGGGACTCAAAAGCCAAAATTCTTAACATCCTTTAGAAAGCTTCATACAGGGCTGGCAGGTGGCATGGCACTTAAGGGCACTGGATTCCCACAAGGTGAATCGCGGTTTGAGTGCTGGACCTAGAGGCTCGCTTTCTCACTTTCTCTCTCTCACTTTTATCCTTGTCTGGTTAAATTTAAATAAAGTTAAATAAAAAAGAGAGAAGACTTTTTTTAAAAAAGAGAGAAGACTTCACACAATCTAATCTCCATTACATGACTTCAACCGATACTACCATTTTAGTGTGCCAGACACCAGGGCCTCTTTGTCTCTCCTTGAATGGGCCAGGTACATACCTACTTCAGGGCTGTCCTACTTGCTGTTCCCTCTTATATGAAATGATCTTCCCCCAAAATCCACGTTAGTTCCTTCACCCTTTCAGGTCACTGCTTAACCATCACCTCCTTGGTAAGGTCTTCCTTGTATTTATCATCACACTCATTAAAAAATTTACATTTTTTTTTTGCTCCTTACAGTCCCTGGTCCCCTTTTCTGGCTTTATTTTTCTCCATAATACTTATCATCATATATATATTTTACTTCCTTTATCTGTCCTTCCTGACAAGAATGTAAGGTTGTCTAAGGGCTGAAATTTATCTGTTTTATTCATTGCCTTAACCCAGCATAGTATACAGTATATTATCAATAAACACACACTGAATTTAAACGAGCTGTAGTAGACCATCAGTAATATCCAATGATATTTTGTTTCATTTACCAAATATAATTAAACATAAAATAGGTTACTTGCCTATTTCACCATGCTTTGTAATGGGACCTGCATGAATTTTCAATATATCTAATCTTGCCTGTTCGTTTGGTAAATCAATATCTGGAAATAAGAAGAAATTATGTTAAAAAAAAATCATGGTATAGTCCAGTTTTGTGTGTGTGTGTGTGTGTGTGTGTGTGTGTGTTTAATTCAAGTAGGAAGCAAAGGTAGGTATAGAAAGAAAAATGGATATAGATGAAGGGAAACAGATAGCAGGTAAAGAATATTAACTCACGTATTTTTCTATCTAATCTTCCTGGACGCAGCAAAGCAGGATCCAGTGTATCTGGTCTGTTTGTAGCCATGATCATTTTGACTCTATGCAGAGTATCAAATCCATCCATCTGATTCAGTAACTAATATTAAAAAATCACAGATTTTTATACAACAGTCTAATTATTAAAAAACAACATACACCTATATGCGCTTAATAGTATGAAACGTACTGCCTACAGACAGGTGTGTAACTGTTCAAGCACATTCATCTGACAGAATTCTATTTTTCTCTTTTATACAAAGGGTTATACTTTCCATTCTCTAAGTTCCAAGATCAGTTATGTACCTTTTCATAAATATATACCTTTCTATACCTATGAGTTAGCTAAATCTGTAAGCTTCTACACCTAGTCAAAAATTATAAAATCAAATGATATAAATCTGTTTTCCAATGTCCAAATTTTTTTCATATAATTGCTTTTTAAATAAAAATGAATTAAATCTTATGTATAAAGTGCTATGAGGATCCAGTGGATGGCATAATGGACACTGCTGGACTCCCACATAGTCAATCAAGGTCTGAGTCTCAGACCCAGTGGCTTAAAACTCATGCTGGGCTTGTGTGCATGCATGCATGTCCAAAATCCCGAGAGAAGATTGGAGGAGAAGGGACTGTGCCATGGCCATCCTCTCTGGGAGGTGATTTCTTGCTTTCTGTCTCTGTCTCTGTGTCACTGGTGAGCGCACATACCCTATAGCAAAAATCTCTTAAAAATAAATAAATAAATAAATAAAGTGCTATGATATGTCACACATAACATTTATATCAGGTTAACTCGATAAAAAGATTTTTCTACAAATCAGATAAATCTAAAAAACACTGGTTTGTTTTTTAAATAAATCTCCTTTTTCAAATATTACCTCCATTAAAGTTCTCTGAATCTCTCTGTCGGCTGAAGTACCCTCAGAAAACCGACGACCACCTGAAAGAGTAGATTTGTAAACTTACATGCATTACACTTTCCTCCATACCACCATTTTTAAGAAAAAGAATGTTATAGTGACTAGGGTTAAAAACACTAAGATGAAAATTAAATAGTAAGCATTATACTAACAGAGTTAGAATGGATTTGTTATAACACTTCCCATTTTATCAATATCAAAAGTGATTTATTAAAATTAAATTTTCTGGGGGACCAGCAGGTGGCATGGTGGTTAAGGCTCTGGACTCTACCATGTGGCCAATCAGGGTTCAAGTCCTGAATCTGGTGGCTTGCTTTCCTCACTTCCTCTCTCTCTCACTCTTACCCTCTGTCTCTCTGGTCAAATTAAAAAATAAATGAATGAATAAATAAAATAAAATAAAAGTAAAATAAATAATTATTAAAAAAATATTAAATTTTCTAACCATTTTTAAAGTAACCTCCATTCATTGTGCTACTATATAATATACTCCATACAAGCCATAATCTCTATGTAACATGGGGAAAAAGAGTCCTTTTCAATTTTTTTAAAAACTCATCACTTATAAGATAAATGTAAAATAAACTTTAAAAGGCATTATTCTTACCAATAGCATCTATTTCATCCATAAAAATAATGCATGGCTGATGGTCCCTGGCATAATTAAACATTTCTCTGATCAAACGAGCACTTTCGCCAATGTACTTGTCTACAATAGAACTAGATACGACCTGATTAAAGAAAAAACACTGAGGTAAATATAAAACAACTTAAATAAAATTTAGTTTTAAAATTATGAAAGAATCTTCCCTTTACCTTTAAGAAGTTACAGTCCAGCTGGCTAGCAACAGCTCGTGCCAAAAGTGTTTTTCCTGTACCTAAAAAACAAAAGAAGTCCTTATTAGATAATAATTTTCAAAAACCCTAAGAATGTAATTCTCTGGCTAGTAAATTTTCTAAAATGAGCACCAAATCTGAAATAAAATTTTCATTTAATATTCCAAAGCACTCCTTTCTATAATACCAAAATTGTAATTTTTATTCAGAATATCGCTTGTCATTTTATTATTTTTTAATCTTATTTTTGATAAATAGTAAGTGACTACTTATGGGGTACAATGTGATATAATGATGTAACGATGTCACACACATATATTGTGGGATGATTAAATCAGGGGGCTAACAATTACCACCTTGCATACTTATCATTACTTTGCAGTGAGAACACGTAAATCCTACTGTTAGCAATTGTGAAATAGCTAAAACATTATTAATTTTAACAGTCATGCTTTGCAATAAATTATTAAACTTATTTCTCCTAACTTTGTACTATTCAAGTAAAAGCTCCCCTTCCTCTAGTCACCACCCAACCTTTCTAGTAACCAACATCTTTCTCTCAACTCCTGTGAGTGGGACCTTCTTAGATTTCCCATGTAAATGAGATCAGGGGTTAATCTGCCTTTCTGTGCCTGGCTTATTTCACCTAATAATAAGTCCTCTACAAACCGCCATGTTGTTGTAAATGACAGAAGCCCCTTTCTTTTAAAAGTTGAATAGTATTCCACTATGTATACATACCACATTTCTTTTATGCATTCATCCACAGATAGGCACTTATATTGTTTCCATGTCCTGGCTATTATTAATAATGCTGCAACTAATATGGGACTGTAGTTATCTCTTTGAGATACTGTTTTCCATCCTTTGAATATACACCAAGAAGTGGAATTTGCTGGGTCACGTGGTAATTCTTTTTTGGGGGGGGCAGATGGGGGGGTAATTCTAGTTTATTTTTTTGTTTTTGTTTCTTTTTTTGAGAGGATTTTGCTATAGGGCACATGCACTCACCAGAAAAACAGAGAAACAGAGAGACAGAAAGTGAGAAATCATCTCCCAGGGGGATGGCCACGCCACAATCCCTTCTCCTCCATTTCCTCTTGGAATCTCACGCATGCACGCACACACATGTACCCGGAGTGAGTTTAAGCCACCACGGGTCCAGGACTCGAACCGTGGTTGACTACATGGGTGTCCAGCAACACAGCCATTACGTCAACTGCTGGTCCCAAGGCATCTCCATACTTTTCCAATACAATTATACTAAAGTACATACCCACCAACGCTGTACAAAGGTTCCCTTTTCTCTACATCCTTGCCAATGTTTGTTAACCGTTCATCCTTCTGCTAACAGCCATTCTAACAGTTGTGAGGTGATAGCTCACTCACGGTAATTTTAATAATAATGAATACAGAGCTTTAGAAATACATCAAACCCCATTTACAACATGGACTACGATAACAACTTCTTTCACACATAAAATACATTGGTTTGTCCTGAACATTGCATAGATTGTTTACCTCTGCATGATGTTTTAATATCAAGCACTAGTTATTTGGAAACTATTGGTTCATTCAATTATGCAAATCTTCAAAATGTTGACATTTTTCAATATACCATATTTAAGAAACACATGTTAGTTAATATCACTACCCATCTCACCAAAAAAAGTTTTTAAGAAATAACATATTAGAGGGACCAGCAGTTAGTGTAATGGCTATGTCGCTGGACTCCCAAGTAGTCGACTGCGGTTCATGTCCCAGACCCAGTGGCTTAAACTCACACCAGGCGTGTGTGCGTGCATGCCCAAGATCCCGGGAAGAGATTGCAGCGTGGCCATCCCCCCCGGGGGGTGATTTCTCACTTTCTGTCTCTCTGTCTCTCTCTGTCTGTCTGGCGAGTGCATGCGCCCTATAGCAAAAACCTCTTAAGGCATAAAAGAAAAAGAAATAACATATTAGAAAGCTGCTAACCTCATAGTGCCATACAAAAGATTTTTAAATTCTAATTTTTGCTTGAAACCTCAAATTTTTTTAACTAGTAGCAGATGCTGTCAGTTGCTTTCCTGAAAATAATAGGCTGACTTCATTCGTTTTGGACAGAATGTATGCTACATAACCAATAACCATCCCGAATGACCACAGATTGCATACGAACTGCCCTCACAAGTGAAAATGGTATTCTATTAAAAACAACTAATTCATTTGGCAACTCAAGTAACTGTGCAAGTCACTATGGTAAAAATAACTATTGTATTCAAAATGGAGAAGTATTTTATTTCTCATTTCCTCACAAAGAGTATGGAACATTATTCAAGGATGAAAATTTAATAAAATTAGTTATTTTTACTGCTTTTCTAAGGACGTTTTAAAGTGAAACTGGTGGGGCCAGCAGGTGACATGGTGGTTAAGGCTCTGGACTTCAACAGGGCTAAGGTTCAATTCTCTATTTGAGACCATGGTTCTCACTTTCTCTCTCTCTTTCTTTCTCTTTCTCCAATAAGCGCATGTGACCAGTAGCAAATTGGAAAATAATAAATTAATAAATTTAATCAGTCTTTTTTTAACAAATCATTTTATTTAACTTTATTAACTATTATTACTATTTTAATTTGACCAGAGAGAGAGGGAAAGAATGAGAAAGCAAGTCGCCAGGCCTGGGACTTAAAGGTCCCATAAATAATTCTTTTTAAAAAATACAGGGACCAGCATTTAGCGTAATGGCTATGTCGCTGGACTCCCATGTAGTCGACCGCAGTTCGCGACCTGGACCTGGTGGCTTAAAACTCACGCTGGGCGCATGTGCGTGTGTGCCAAAGATCCCGAGAGGAGAACAGAGAAAGGATCGCGGCGTGGCCATCCCCCCTGGGGGGTGATTTCTCGCTTTCTGTCTCTCTGTCTCTCTCTGTCTGTCTAGCGAGCACACACGCCCTATGGCAAAAACGTCTCAAAAAAAAAAAAATACAATGACCTTTTTTTTTGGTATTACTGCAAGTATGTACCAATCAATAATGTGACTAGCACTTTCATGCCACAAAAAACTGATTCTTGCAATGGAGTCAGCAATTTTATCCACATCACTTTTGCACCATCAGCACAGAGATCAATACAGTGAAAGGGTCAAATAATATCTCAGTATTACAGAAGTAGTTTTGACTTTACAGATTCCAAGAAAGCCTCATAAAGACAACTAGAAGCCTGTGAACCACATTTGAGAACTGATGTACTAAATTATGGGGCCTGTTAAGACATAGTATGAGGCACAAATGAACTAAGCATGCCAGGGAGGAAGCACACACACATTTCCTACTCTATTTGCTCTAAATGAAGTAAACACTGGAGTTACCACATCAAATTTCTATCTTTATATTTTTATTCCTTAATTCATTCTTTTCTTGGTATGGCAGAAATAATTCAATACTAACCTGGTGGCCCATATAACAAACAGCCTTTTGGGGGTATTATTCCTACACGCTGGAATAATTCTGGGTTTGTAAGAGGTAACTCTATTACCTAGAAAAGAAGCAGAATGTTTCTTTAAAAGTTAGTAAAGATTTTAATGTCTTTCCAAATATTTTAAGTCAAATATGAACATAATCACATGGATACAACATAATCCATAAGAAGTCTAGATTTCCATGCTATGTAAAACCACTTATGTTACAAGTTTTTCTTCAGGTGGATTTAAGATCCTTTAAATCTAAGAAAAATTGTAATTAATGATTATTTTGACAAACCATAAACTTGTTAGGTTATACAGGTGTAATATGTTAAAACAAATTTGAAAAGTACACCTAAAACCTGCACAATTTAACAAATGTAAATTATACTGCAACGAAAAATTACACTAAAAAATCAGTTAAGTGAGCCAGCAGGTAGTGTAGAGGTTAAAGCAGCTGGATCTTATATGGCGAAATCTACATGTTCGAGTCCTAGATCCAGTGACGTGAAAAAAATATGCTGGGCACATTGGAGCACATGTATGTGCTTGCCCCAAATCCCAAGAGATGAGACTGTGGTGTGGCCATCCACCCTGGGGAGTGATTTCTCACTTTCTCTCTCTCTCTCTCTGTGGTGAGCATTCAATTCCTATAGTAAAATTTGAAGAAAAGAAAACAAAACAACAACCAAAAAAAAACCCCCCACAAAATCCAAAAGATCTATAACTAGTTTGCATTTAGGAATATAACACAAAATAATTATAAAATGCAGAAATGGATTTCATAAAGTTATGACTGTCACTAAGAGAAGAGGTATATAAAAATATTAACTGTCATAGTGGCCTTAAAATAATTTGTTCTGTTCTCAATGCTTTTCTAAAACGGATAAGTGAAAGGTGGGGGGTGGTGAAAAATACAAAACTTGGGGATTTGACTAGTCAATTTACTCAGTCTCAGTAACTTGAGGGATAAACTTCTACTGAATAGCCGTGTTCCTAAGATGTGGGTAGGACAGGCCTGAAGTGTGAAAAATCACTATTCTACAGTGTCTGCAAGTGATAAGGGATACTATGTATAGGTGCATCTTTCAGCTCCTATGAGTGATAGAGCAAATCATTGCAGAAAGCAGGTTCCTATAGTTCCATGACACATTTCTTTCTCTGTTGTCCTTTTATTAAATAGAAGGTGAGAATAGGCTTTTATTTACACCTGGACCAGTGTTTCCTCAAGTATGACGCAAAAACAAGATCTGATCTCATAATCACATAGAATCCTTGTTTAAATCCTAACTCCTATGTGTCAGCCTTATCTACTAATACTTCAACACCATTTAGAAGGCCTAATAATCTAAATATTTTTTAACTTTTATTTATTATTATTATTATTTTCCAGTTTTTGATCAGAGAAAGACAGAGAGAAAGAAAGGGAAAATGAGAAAGCAAGCCATCAGGTCTGGGACTTGAACTGCAGTCAGCAACGTGGGAGTCCAGCAGCCTTAACCCCCATGCCACCTGCCAGCCCCTAATCTAAATTTTTAATATGTTTTCCAGAAAATGGGGGAGTGATTTCTCACTTTCTCTCTCTCTCTCTCTGTGGTGAGCATTCAATTCCTATAGTAAAATTTGAAGAAAAGAAAACAAAACAACAACCAAAAAAAAACCCCCCACAAAATCCAAAAGATCTATAACTAGTTTGCATTTAGGAATATAACACAAAATAATTATAAAATGCAGAAATGGATTTCATAAAGTTATGACTGTCACTAAGAGAAGAGGTATATAAAAATATTAACTGTCATAGTGGCCTTAAAATAATTTGTTCTGTTCTCAATGCTTTTCTAAAACGGATAAGTGAAAGGTGGGGGGTGGTGAAAAATACAAAACTTGGGGATTTGACTAGTCAATTTACTCAGTCTCAGTAACTTGAGGGATAAACTTCTACTGAATAGCCGTGTTCCTAAGATGTGGGTAGGACAGGCCTGAAGTGTGAAAAATCACTATTCTACAGTGTCTGCAAGTGATAAGGGATACTATGTATAGGTGCATCTTTCAGCTCCTATGAGTGATAGAGCAAATCATTGCAGAAAGCAGGTTCCTATAGTTCCATGACACATTTCTTTCTCTGTTGTCCTTTTATTAAATAGAAGGTGAGAATAGGCTTTTATTTACACCTGGACCAGTGTTTCCTCAAGTATGACGCAAAAACAAGATCTGATCTCATAATCACATAGAATCCTTGTTTAAATCCTAACTCCTATGTGTCAGCCTTATCTACTAATACTTCAACACCATTTAGAAGGCCTAATAATCTAAATATTTTTTAACTTTTATTTATTATTATTATTATTTTCCAGTTTTTGATCAGAGAAAGACAGAGAGAAAGAAAGGGAAAATGAGAAAGCAAGCCATCAGGTCTGGGACTTGAACTGCAGTCAGCAACGTGGGAGTCCAGCAGCCTTAACCCCCATGCCACCTGCCAGCCCCTAATCTAAATTTTTAATATGTTTTCCAGAAAATGTAATGTGCTAAAGTCTAAGAACTAGTGGTTTAGAGCTTAAATCAAATGATATAAAATGTTCCAACTATTACTACACATTCCTAAAGATTTCTAGCCTAAATTAGGAATGAAATGAACAGAACAATGTAATTTTTGGGACCAGCAGATGGCGTAATGGTTACATTGCTGGACTCCCATATGGCCAACCACGGTTTAAGTTCTGGACCTGGTGCATCCATGTGCAAAATCCCGAGAGAATGGAGAAGGGATTGTAGCATGGCCATCCCCTCAGGTTGTGATTTCTCGATTTCTATCTGTCTTTCTGGTGGGCACACATACCCTATAGCAATAATCTAAAACAACAAATTTAAAAAAATGTAATCTGCTTTATAAATATATTTTAAGGGGAACCAGCAGTTAGCGTAATGGCTATGTCGCTGGACTCCCACGTGGTCGACCATGGTTCCTGCTCTGGACCCGGTGGCTTAAAACTCACGCCGGGCACGTGTGCGTGCATGCCCAAGATCCCAAGAGGAGAATGGAGGAGAAGGGATTGCGGCATGACCATCCCCCCTGGGGGGTGATTTCTCGCTTTCTGTCTCTATGTCTCTCTCTGTCTGTCTGGCAAGCACATGCGCCCTATAGCAAAAAAAAAAAAAAAACTCTCAAAAAAAAAAATTTTTAAGAAACCATCTGTGCAGTGAAGCAAGGCAATCCTGATTTGATTCTTTACCCCAAAGCTTAAAGACTGAAGTCATTCTTTGGGACAAGATGTGGCATAGCAGTAATGCATCACTCTGTGAACTGACTTCCATGGGAAAGTTGCTGGGTCAGATCTGGAGACCTTCCTGTGCATGCTGGCATATGTGCACCCAGGATCTAGGACTCATTGTAGCTGCAGGTGAATCAACCTATGAGAACCCTACTGGGATGCCTTATCTATCTGTCTATCTAGCTCATAGAATAAATAATAAGCTTGGAAAAAAAAAAAAAAAGGAAAAGATATAAGCTACCCCATAAATAGTATTTTTCCTATATGGAAGCAAACAGCTTTATCAAAATAAAGTTGGGTATTAGATTGCCAATATATTTACACATAACTTTATTTTAGGGTACAAAACTAACATTAATGAAGGAAAAGACACTATATCCACATTATCCTAACATGCTCCAACTCAAGTAACCTATTATGACAATCGAAACAAAGATCAAATGGCAAGGGCATTGGAGTGTATCAATTATGCTTTTTTTTGGAGAGGATTTTGCTATAGGGCGCGTGCACTCACCAGAAAGACAGAGAAAAACAGAGACACAGAAAGCAAGAAATCACCCCCCCCCCGGGGGATGGCCACACTGCAATCCCTTCTCCTCCATTCTCTTCTCGGGATCTTGGAGCATGCACACACACGTGCCTGGCAGGAGTTTAAGTCACCAGGTGCCAGGACTCAACTACATGGGAGTTCAGAGACATAGCCATTACGCCAACTGCTGGAACCATCAATTATTCTTAACAATCACCACTTTTTAACTCAATAAGAACAAGATTTTTCTAATACCAAATAAGAGGCAAGTTAATAAGTACTGGTAATTTTCACAGCCAGAAACTCAGTGTCACTTTTCTCTTTGCAAGAATATTAACTACAGGGCTGACCATATGGCCTAGTGGTTAAGGGAGCTGGATCCCATATGGCTAACTCACTGGAGACTTGAAAAGCATGCTGTCATGTATGCTTGCATGCTCCAGGTCTTGGCAGGATGAGAATAGAGAAAGAACTGCAGTGTGACCACACTCATGTGGGGGGAAGCTTTTACCCTGTCCCCCTCTCCATCTCTTCCTGGCAAGTGAATATACCCTCTAGCAATTAAAAAAAAATATATGTGTGTGTGTGTATATATATATATATATATATACACACACACACACATATATATATATAAAATGGATAACATTCAGTAACTAACATTTGGACAAAAAGTAATTTTTTTATCCTACTTTTCTCTGCAATATCCTACAATAAGTACTATTTATTAGTTAGTTCAGAGAACAAAGTACACAGTACCAACCTCTCTTAACTCCCGAATCTGTTCTGAGAGCCCTCCAATCTCAGAATAAGAAACATTCCCAGGGTCCTCATGAGACATGTTGTAAACCAGTGGATCCACCTCTCTTGGCAAATATCTAGAATGAAAAGGTATGTACTTTTTTTTTTCCAAAGATGTATTTTCTCTCAATAGATAGGTAGGAGCATAAATGACTTGCTTACACCAATACATGTAGCTGATCTTAAAAAGACATGTTCAAACTAATAAGAAAGTAATAAAAGGGAAAAAATATCAAAATACTCAGGCATTTCAAGAAACATGTATTTTATATACAACCTTCCCTTTCTGAAAATAAAAGGTAAACTAAATAGAGAAAGCAACCCACCTCATGATAGTCAGTGTGGTCATATCCAAAGCAACTCTTGTTCCTGGCTTCAGCTTACTTTTGTCAAGCTAGTTTTTGTAAAACAAAAAGTGTATAAACATTTAAAAATGGAAATAATACTTTTAAGAGCTTACTATTAGTATTTCGAAGTTAAATCTCAGCTTTAGATTCAGGGAGAACACAAATACTAAATTATAAACTACACGTTAATAACAGGATTTATAAAAGTAAATACTGAAAGTGAATAGGATTTCCATTTGTACCTTAAAGAGTGCCCTTTTATGTAATCTCGGTATGTGAAATCCTCAATACACAGAGTTGGAGGTGGCAATGGCCTTGTTTTTGAAGAAGGAAAGGACTTTGGAGTTCTACTTTTCAAGGTTTACTATTTAATATTATTTTGATTCAGAGTTTCTGTAGTACAGTGATCTTGAGAATTGGTACCAAAGCATTTACAGAAAAATCCCTTAGTGAACATTTTAGAAGAAAAGAGAGCTTTTTTTTTTGTTCTTTTTTTATAGAGATTTTTGCTATAAGGGCGCATGCACTCGCCATTTAGACAGAGACAGACAGAGACAGAAAGCGAGAAATCACCCCCCAAGGGGGATGACCACGCCGCAATCCCTTCTCCTCCATTCTCCTCTCGGGATCTTGGGCACGCACGCACACGCACCCATGAGTTTAAGCCACTGGGTCCGGGACTTGAACCGCAGTCAGCTACATGGCAGTTCAGCAACATAGCCATTAGGCTGACTGCTGGTCCCAAGAGAGCATTTTAATGATATGCCAATTAGATTTATTTTGAAAAGTCTAGCTTTGGGGAAGAATGTATGTTATATGATTTTAGGGGATAAGGAGAAAATGCACTCTGCTTTCCTTTAGTTTTATTTCTTATTAAAATGTTAAGAAACTCAAAACAAACACTCCCAAACACAAGCAACCATCATTCATGCCACTGCTATATGTTAAACATTAGGCTAATGACATTATAGGTACATTATTTATTAGGCTAATTCATACTAAATAATTTATTAGCATATCTAAGCAAGGTAACTTACTTGGCTAGAACTGGATAGAATCTATCAGCTTAACACTCAAGACATTACTTCTCAAAAGTTACTTTTTTTCATAGTTTAAAAAACTCCTGTATGGGGCTGGCAGATGGTATGGTGATTAAAGTGCTGAATTCCCACAAGGCTGACCACGGTTCAAACCCTGGACCTGGTGGCTGGCTTTCTCACTTTCCCTCTTGCCCTCTCTGTCTCTCTCAGGACAAATGATAATAATAAGTAAAATTAATTTTTTAATTTAAAAACTGCTGTGGAGGGACCAGCAGTTGGCATAATGGCTATGTCGCTGGACTCCCATGCAGTCAACTGAGGTTTGAGTCCCACACCCGGTGGCTTAAACTCATGCCAGGAACATGTGCATGTGTGTCCAGGATCATGAAAGAAGAATGGAGGAGAAGGGATTGCAGCATGGCCATCTCCCCTGGGAGGTGATTTCTTGCTTTCTGTCTCTCTGTCATTCTCTATCTTTCTGGAGAGTGCACATGCCCTATAGCAAAAACTTCTCCAAAAAAAAATAAATAACTGCTGTGGACTGGCGCTATGGCATAGCGCCATGCAGAGGGAGTCAGGCCTAGAGCCTTGGAAATCATGCCACACACGTGCATGCACACCCAGGACCCTGACGGAAAAGTGAAATGGAGGAAAAAAGGTTTGCAGCATGACCAGGCCACATTAGGAAGTTTTGATCTCACTCTCTGTCTGTCAAGCATATCCTCTGGCTTAGAGAAAACAAACTGCTTTAGAAGTTTTACAGTTTCAGAATCATATAAGTTATGACCACTTTTCACAGGATTTTACAAAGCACTCCAAACTTAGAATTTAGTATCAATTAAAATAAAGATATGTAAACACTAGGTTTAATATAACAGATTAAGCTAAAAAGAACAGCAAATAAATGAGGTACTTGAAAAAAGAGATAGAGATCAACATAAAGGTATTTAAAAATTTCCATCTACTTGGAATATATGCTCTGGTTTTTCTAATATTTTCCAGTTTTTAACAATTGTCTTGCCCTCGTACAACCAGGAACTACCTTAGAAATGCCAATGTTTGGCATTCAGACAGCCCTGAAAGGGACACAAATATCCCGTCAGAACAACCACTATCTATATATACACACACATGCGCGCGCGCGCTTTTAAGTTTTGCTATGGGTCATGTGCCCGTCCAAGATAGACAGAAATAGAAAGAGGGAAAGTGAGAAAGCACTCCTTTCGGGGGGTGGGGGAGTACACACCACAGTACCTTCTCCATTTTCCCTCTTGGGATTTTGGGCCTGTACACATACATCAAGCCGTGGGGTTTAGGACTCAAACTGTGTAGTTGGTCATGTGGGATCCAACACCTTCACTACCACACCACCCATTGGCCTACCATCTAATATTTTTACTTATAAAATGTCACATACTTATATGTTAGGCAGAATCCTAAGAATACAACATTCCACAGCCATGTTGTATTGATGTTTTAAAACCTGAACCTGAGATAACAATATTTAACAAAAAGCTCATCGAATGAATTTATGAGTATCTTCTATCAAGGACACTTCCAAAGAGGAGACTAGTTCATTAAGTTGCATCGGATGTTATTGAATGATATAAAGTCATTTTGGGGGAGTTTATGATGACTGTAAAATGAGATTTAGAGTCATCTCAATGACCTTATACAGAATTAATTTAGGCTACAGTAGTCTATAACATTAGTAAATGTTTAAACATAAAACATGGGTATCTGATAGTGTCTAACACTTTTAAGTGCTCTTCAAAAAAGATATTAAAATAACGTTATCTGTTTTCCAGTTCTAAAACTCTTAGATATGCAACAAGTGTATAATGTAATATAGAAGAAAGTGGAGAATGCCAGGAGTAAAAGCCTATAGTTTGAATTCAGGCTTTGCAAATAATTAGTTATGTCTTGGGAGTCATGGACATAATATCTGATCTGCTTACTCTAGAATTACAGTAACTCATGTAGAAGTGCTTTTGTCAATTATAAAGCACTGTATAAGTGAAAAGTACTATTACCTGTCGACGACAACCCACAACATATCTTGGACCATTTGTGGCTTTAACAATAACTAGAAGAAGAAGAAAATAAAAAGAACAGATTGAAAATCAGAAAACATATATATCTACATTGATAGAGAATTAGGTTTTATTTCTTCTCTTTAGAAAGACAACAGTTGGGGCCAGCTGATGGCACTACGGTAATACACACTCTGTGATGCTGGACCCACATAGGAGGGTCCCTGATCTGTATCCTGAGATCTGACTGTATAGACTGGGCGTGCTGGTATGCCTGTGATCCAGGCCAGCAGAAGCTGAGGATGGATAACAGCATGAAACCCCTGCTGGGGGTGCTTGTCTCTATATTTTGCTGTCACTCTCTCATGTAAGAAATAAACTTTAACAAGACAATGGTTGAAATAAAACTTAGAAGTCTAAGTTACGATACCATCTCCCTATATTGTAACCATAAAATAAAAACATTTCAAAAGTTAGGAACAGGTTGGCTGTTTCTTTACTAATGAATAAGGTAATCCACTTACATTTCTCTTCAGTTAATTGCTTAAGGACTTCTCCCACAATCTAAAAAAGAAAAAAAGAATTACTTCTTGCCAGCAGCTAAAAAACAAAGCAAATTACCATCACCCCTATGCCCATTACCTACCTGCCCAACACTTTGTAGGGCCTTCAGATCATTTTCAGACTTTTCATACTGCTTGGTAAGTTCTTTTAATTGTTCCCTTACTGAAATAATATAATTTAAACATTTTTAATTAAACAATAACCTTAATGAGGTGAAGTCACTAAGTTTCATTTTACTTAAGTAAATTTAAGTCTACTTCACTTTGTGTAAATTTCATATCTACTATGTCAAACCACAAATACCATTTGTAACTAGTTTCAAAAGAAAATGTTACACCATGTTTTTATTTTCTCTATAAAGACACGATATTTCCTCCCTAGCAATATTGTCTTGTTAAGCACATTTAACTTACATTCTTGACAGATAATGCCACCCTATCGTTAGCAGATTTGCGATCACAAATCCAAATGATAATCGAGTCAGATCCTTCCTCCTCTCTTACCATGTGGATTACTGTTTGTCTACCCTAAATACAAATTACCAAATGCAATTCTCTAAAGAATCATACAGTTATAGTTTCCCTTCGTTTAATTAATCACTCAGGGTTTTGAATGAAGGCACTCTAAGAAAGAACATAACTGCTTAAGAGCTAAGGCAAACTTGTATGTCCGAGACGGTAGAACACAAAACACGAGGACAGAAGCAAAGGTTACTATGACCATGGAACCCCTTCTCTCAAACTCTGCGTCCAGCTCTCAACTCCAACAGGCCGACTCCCTGAGTCTCAGGTCTTACTTGAGCTTCCTTGACTCAAGCGTCTTCTCCTCTCCGGGTCCCGGGACTCCACCAACACTGCCCTCCTTGCACTGGAACCTCGCCCACTTCTTCCCCACTCCTCTAGTCCTTTTCTACTTCCACGTTAGAACTGTGGATGTTCTCTCCGTCACTTGGGCTGGATCGGGCCATTTCCATGACCGAAGGGGTGCTGCTCCCTAAGCTCTGGGCCGGATGACAAAGCGCCTTGTCCGTAGACGGAGGCCTTCCCGTTCCCCGGGGCTCGGTTGCCGAGCTCGGTCAAAGGCCTACGCCTGTCAGAGGCAAAAGCGAATCCAGGCACAAGATTATGTGGAAAGAAAGGTGCACTCACACTCCTTAAGACGGCCATCGATCTCCTTGTG